GGCATGTTAATACCCAGTCTGTCCTCAGGTTTCCTCTTGTAAGCATAGTATGATGTTTAATATGTCGAATTTCTTTTCATTTTTTTTATCCAAGAAACATATAATAGATCCAAAGTTCTTAGGACTCCGAGCATATCACATTAAAAACAATGATGCTACTTTATTTAATCTAATGACGATGCTAAATTCTTCTAAAGTATGTGTATGATAAAACAGATAAATATATTTTTTTTCCTGCATAAGGATAGGACAGGAAAATATCGGAAAACTGTGCTAGCCTCCAGTGGATTAGTCAAGTTCCTGAAGTTCTGTTTATTTACATCAATATCTTTAGGGGACTTGTTGAAAAGGGGAGGAAACTTGAACTTCACTATTCCCTTCTCCTTTATTACCCACAGCTGGGGCTGGTATCCTGGTATAAAAGTTTTCAGCAGAAGGTGGGCTATGCTTTAAAAGTGACCCAAGTTCTACAACTGGCCAATCGCTTTTACAGGGTTTGGAAGGCCCCCCTGCCACCACCCGCCATACATGGGGCAGCGGCAGACAGAGGACAGGGATGAAATTCTGTTTCTTCCCTTCCTCTCTGACAAATGATCCCAGAAGTGATGTGGATTTTGTCACTTGTGGTTTCAGTTGTTTGTTCATTAGCTATTAGCAGCCAGACATGAACTTGGTTTGGTCAGGTGATTTTGAAGGTCAGAGGAGGGATCAGGGGTCTTATAGACCCCTAATTTCTCAGTAAAGATTACCCGTCACTGCCCCGGCTATCACAAGGGATGTTGTTCATCCCTTGTGATTGCAATTAAGTTAAATTTAAAATAATTAAAGAAACAGTGTAGACATAATAATAATAAAAAAAAAACTAAAGTGCTGCATACGTATGTAAACAGTGATTGCACCACACACATGAGGTATTGCCATGTACACCAGACAGAGCAATAATTCTTATGCTTCATGTTTAACTTTAAACTGGTAACCTGTAAAGGCTTTTAAAGTGTTGCCTATGAAGGTTCTTAGGTACCGTAGTTTGTTGCCATTCCAAGGGCTTGTGAAATTTTAAATCTTGACATGTTTAATATTTTTATTTACTCACCACAACATAATCTTTTATATTTTTCAAAAAAGTGAGTATTATTATTATACAGTATTTGTATAGCGCCAACAGTTTGCTCAGCGCTGTACATTATAATGGGAGACAGTACACGAGACAGCACAGTTACAATACAATACAATACACGAGGGGTTCGAGGGCCCTGCTCCTTGGAGCTTACAATCTAGGACGGAGGTATTATAATGTGTTTGTGTGCACTAAAATGCATTTAAGCATATTTTTTCCTGAGAATTTGCATTTGATAAACAGCTGCAAAAATATAATCTGACATAGAAATCGGAACAACCGCTAGTTTTTTCTTCAGGGCCTCTGCTTTCAGAAAATATATAATGTTTGGGGATCTAAGTAATTTTCTAGCAAAAATGCTGACTTTAACATGTATGTTAGAAATGTCAGAAAGTAGTTAAAGTGAACCTGTGTTTTAGAAAATGCAAAACAAAAGAGACAGGTTCACTTTAATGCCAGGCCCATACAGCGGTTTATACTTACCTTCTGTTAGCTCTTTGCCACTTATTTGGGGAAGCAAAGGAACATACTGTGTGCTTTCCTGTATTGGGGAACATGTGACTCACTTGCTTTTTTTCCACATGACTGTGGCCACCAAGGTGCCATCACTATTACATGGGGATAGTGAAAGAGTTTTCAGCTTTGTGTAAGCTCCAAGTCTTAAGAGGGAGCAAAGGAACTGATACCAGTTATGACAACAATCTCCTTTTCAGTTTGAATTGTGGTATGTTGTAAAAAATGCATCAGGACCAAATGCTATGAACCTCAGCGCACAAAAACACGCTCTGGCCCTCTGGATTGTGAAGTTGACCTTCACAGGTCTAAGCCTTCCCTACTTTATCCAAAACTGAAAAAAACGTTTTTACTTTACATACAGTGACATCAACGATATCATTGTGTTGTGTGGCGACGTGGTACCTCATAAGAACATACAATGCTCTTTGCAACAAACACTTGGCGTCCACCCTCTGATGAAGTGCCCTAGCACGAAAGGCCTCAGGAGGAGCCAGTAGCTAGTGTGACTTCCTGACCACTGGGACCACGAGGAGGTCCGGTGGTCTTCCACCTTTACCTTTGCCGGGAGAGGGATCTCTATCTACCTTATCACTTGGGGCAAGAGGGCTCTCTGGACCTGGAGGTATATCGCTGCACCCAAGGTTGATGTCGTTACTTGAAGGGGATGACCAATGTGCCTTACTGATCTACTTACCTGACCGATCATCTGGATAATATTGTACACATGCGCATTTGAAATGTGCGGTCGGTGAGTGCGCATTTCTTCTATTTGATTCCAGCCACCTAGATGATGAGGAAACCTTCACATGTGTTTTGTTCATGATCACTTTTATTGTGTAAAAGACTATATGAACTTTTATTCACATATATTTATATATTATTTTTTTTTTATATTAGTATCATAGCGCTGCACTATATATACATTATTCTTGTTACAAGGTCCAGTGATTCCTTAGAGTGTTCCAGCGGCTGATTTTAGAGCGCTCGCTTCATCTTTATCCCATAAACACTTGTTTACTTCTTGAAATACTGCTCTATATTTCTAACAAAATGGAAGAGTTATTGTAAAGCTGAATTTAAAATCGGCCTAGGTTCACATTTTTTGCAGTTCTTTGCGCTGATACAACAGCCTGATCAATGGGCTGCTGTACCTGCAGGGGAAAAAAGCCCCCAACCCTGCAGCCGAAAAACTGCAGCCGATTGTGCACACCCCAAAACACCCTCTGATTTCTGATGCCTGTGGGTGCAATTAGGAATCAATGGCACCCCTGCGCATCTGCGGAAGAGCAGCTCATTTTGCCTGCAGGTTGGGAATTGTGTGAGCCGCATATATGTGAACCTAGAATGCCTTGAAAAAGATAGACGCCATGCCACACTTTTCAGATATTTATTTGTAAAAAAATGTTGAAAACCATTTAGCATTTTCCTTCAACTTCACAATTATATACCACTTTGTGTTGGTCTATCACATAAAATCTCAATAAAATACATTTACATTTTTGGTTGTAACATGACAAAATGTGAAAGATTTCAAGGGGTATGAATACTTTTTCAAGGCACTGTAGGCTTAGCAATAATCACTGTCAAATCTTCATAGTAGGTTTTAGTTGTTGATACATTTTACACAGGAAATACTTGCCAGATGTAAATGGCAGCATGATGTGCCCTTTAACTGCTATTGTATTTATTTGTGTATTTAGCTATGTTATATTTGTGGTCAAAGTGACTTGTTCAAATTGGAAATAATGGTTTGTTACCTGTATGGGGGAGATTTCTGACATATTATATGACCATGCATAGTCACATGATTCACAGTGTAAACTGTCCATCTGGAAAGGTTAGTAGAGTAATACTGGCTGACTGGCAAAAACCTGCTAATTGTTACACACAGCTGTGATATATTTTATGACAGCTGGAACAAAAAGAGCACTGTTGCCAGAGGAATCAATCAAACTCCATGTATCCTTTGACATATGAAACTTGTCTGCTTGTAGATAGGTGCCTATGTTATATTGCGTTCTTTTGCTTTAAGGTTAGGCTAATGCATACAAGGAGTTAAAGTGACATTAATGGTTCATTTTTTTTCTTCAAATAACAAACATTTTATACTCATCTGCTCTGTGCAACGATCCTCCTCTTATGGGGTTCCACCTGCCTAGTGCCCCATAGCAAGCAGCTTGCTATGAGGGCAACCGAGCAGGCTCACTCCTGAGCTGCTGCTGCTCTTTGTGTCTATTCAGACATGGAGAACTGCTCAACCCCACCCCCGCTCTCTTCTCATTGGCTTAGTAGCTGTGATTGACAGTAGTGGGAGCCAATGGCTAATGAGTGAGAGAACTGGGAGAGCAGATGCTCTCGTGCATAATGCTGGATTAAGATGGGGCTCAGGTAAGTTTTGGGGAGGGGGGGGGGCTGGGGGCACTGCTGAACACAGGGTTTTTACCTTCATGCATAGAATAAAAAACCTTAAGCCTTTACAACCAGTTTAATGTATTTTGTCACATGGTTTCCCATGCATATGTGTCACTTCTGGTTCTTTAGGACATCTATACAGAGGAACTGACTATGTCAAGAGCAGGGGTGGACTGACCATTGGGGAACTCGGGCACTACCCGAGGGTCCAGGGTCAGTAGGGGGCCCCATGAGATGTCCCTGGTACCTTTTATAGGCTTTTTTGGGTGTGGTTTGAGTGTGGGCAAGGACACAGGGGCCCCATGATCCCCTATTGCCCGGGGGCCCCATGAGTTGTTAGTCCGCCCCTCGTCAAGAGAGTCCAATGTGTCCGGATGCAGTCGTATCTCAACTGGTTTGTCACAGCTTGTTATGGGATAGAGTTTCTCTACTGGCCTGAGTCTTTACTGCGGACTGTGGAAGCTGAGCAGCAAGAGGTCTATCACCAAGCATTGTAGGAGTATTTAAGTGTTTCACAGCCCTTTCGTAATCTGCAGGAACAGTTCAACTACCTCTGATTTTCACAGAGCGTACAAAGAGCTTGGTCTCGTCCTGCATGTTTACATTGAATGGGTTGAGCTGGTGCTCCCACTGGATAAGCGGTCATTTTATACATTGGGTGAAAGCACCCTACTGCAGGTGTGTGTGTGAGTCTCCCAGACCCAGCATACAATATGTGACTATGGAACTTGATTTACCTTTATTTAGTTTTTTGACTGCAAGCTGTTTGGAGTATCAAAAAAGGTTAACAGATTCACTATATCTGGTCTCCCACAGTACACACAACATGGAAATGCAATTATTTTAGTAAATACAAACTGCTAAATACCTTTCTCATCAGCAGTTAGAGCAGTCTTGTGACTTCTATCAGTGTCCAGAAGAGCACATGTTAAAGCTTGTAGGAGGAGTTTTCATTCTGCTCTAGGAGGATTTAGAACCACTGACCTCTGTATGGACAATTCTGATTGGCCCTGTGCTGGCCACATGCACTCCCCCCCCCCTAAAAAAAAAAAAAAAGAAAAAAAAACCTTTCTAGCAATACACACCAAACTGTGCATGTGCAGAGTGACTCCACACAATATATCTTATATAAGATAACAGGGGGACAGTGAAAGAAGTGGAGGATCAGATAAGTCAGGATCAAACAACCTTTTTAAACAATACAGAGGATTAACCCCTTAGCTTCCTTTGAGAGTATAACAAGCATGCTTTACTGCAGATACAGACTGATTTTACTGTTGTGGGTTTAGTAACACTTTAAAGTGGTTGTAAAGGCTGAAGGTTTTTTACCTTCATGCATTCTATGCATGAAGGTAAACAACCTTCTGTGTGCAGCAGCTCCCCCAGCTCCTTCAATACTTACCTGAGCCTCATTGCAATCCAGCAATGTGAATGACAGCCTCTGCTGCCCCTGGTCTCTGCCTCCCCATTGGCTGAGACAGCAAGCGGGAGCTATTGTTTTCCCGCTGCTGTCAATCACAGCCAGTCAGCCAATAAGAAGAGGTGGCAGGGCCAAGCCACTGCTCCATGCGTGAATGGAGGGCTGTGGGGGCACCCGACAAACATGTGGAGCCAGGAGAGCCTGAGGGGGACCCAAGAAGAGGAGGACACAGGCTGCTGTGTGCAAAAACACTGCACACAGTAGGTAAGTATAGACATGTTTGTTATTTTACAAAAAAATGTAAAATGAACCTTTAGAATTGCTTTAAAGGCTTACATACAGAGAAACCGACCTTGTCAAGAGAGTCTGGTGTGGGAGCTGCATAGTGAGGACTGATGTATTATGTGATCTACTTCTGTGACCACATTCCCGTCCAATGAGACCTATTTCTTGGACCAACCATGTGTGTGGACTCTGTTCATGGACTAGTTTAACGTAAAGGTATGGGCAGCACCACAAGGGACAGCACAACCAGTTTAAGCACAGATAATTGTGTAAAGGACAATGTTCTGCACTGTGATATTCTACCTCAAGTGTAATGTACATAACTAATCAGTAAATGGAAAGTTGTCTGTGTCCTTACTGGGAAAGAAGACATTATTGTGTTACAGCAATGTGTAGTCACAGTGTGGCACAAAGAACTGGGAACTGGGTGTGAAGCTTTGCTTAACCCTCCTGGCTAACTCCTGAGGTTATGAACAAATGTGTGTGTCAAGAGTATACGAAGGAGAAGCAGCCATCTGACAGAGGAAGCGGTGACAGTTGCAGGTGATAGGGGTCTTGGTAGTGAGGGAACAGTTAGTATTTTATGTTCCCCAGTTAGTAGCAGGGTCTCCATATTAGAGTATGTTGTGTACAGGACCTTCTTAAGGACTGAGCCTGAGGTCATCCTTATGAAGCTGCTTCCCTCTATGCTCAAGGGCAGAACATAGAGGTGCAGAGTTAAGATATGACACAAATTTGTGGAGCAAAGCACTTGCTCATTAATACTTTCTCAAAATGCTTTGGAGTTGTCATATGTTGGTAGAAGTAGGAATAGAGGTTGTCACTGGCAGAGAAGATGAAGAAGATGCGGTCCTTCTGTAAGGGTTTGCTGCTGTAAGTCCATTATGGCCAAAGGCCTGAAGGAGTTATTGCTGGGGTCCACTTAAGTGATTTTGTAACTGGTCGTTGGGCTTTCCTGTGGGTTAGCTGTGCTTTGCCATGGACTTCTATTGCACCTTGTAGGTGTGGTGCACTTTCTGAAAGCACACCAAAACTCCTTCATTCAGGAGATTTGGTACGCTTTCAGAAAGTGCACCACACCCACAATATATAATAGAAGTCTGTGACTGAGTGTAGCTAAGGCTGGCCATACATTATACAATTTTCTTGAGATTTTTGATTTAGATTTACCAAAATCCATATAATAGGAGGTCAAACCTAACAACACTTTCAATTGTATCCAGTTAGGCAGGCCCTTGCACTACTGAGTTGAAGGTAAATCTAAAGGAAATTGGGCAGAAATTGGACAGAAAATTGTATAGTGTATGGCCAGCCAAACCCACAGGAAAGCTGCAGGGGCACTGCGTTGCACCCACGGATCAGTGTATAAGCAGCCTAATAGTTGTTAACGCTTTTATAGGTGCTAATGCCCATTGCAAAAGCAATTATGCCCATTGTATATGTTGTGTAATACGCTGACCTTTTTTTCGTGCATCTGCTGTTGGCATCGCTCTCCAGCCTGCTAGAAAGGATTATAGGTGGAGTGTACTTGGTATTACTGCACCTGGGACATGAGTCGGCTCTATAGAGGAAGCATCAGCTTATGCTGCTCCATCCACTGCCAGCGCTGACTCGCTGCGCACTGATGCTCTTGGATGGTGGATCAATAAGCCCAGATTGCGCTTAATTGGTTGCCTACCCTGGGCATGTGCTTCCCTAGTTTGAGGTCAAGGGCCACATCAGAGGGCTCTGAGGGCCACGGGTTGAGCACCCCTGAGTTATTGCCATCCAAAGTTAGGTGTCATATGTGAGTTTTATATAGCTGGACTACTTCCAAGGTGCCCCTAGGTGGTGAATTCCTAGAACAACCCAACATGGTGTGTTTAACAGACTTTTTTTTGCTCCAGTCTTTTTAAACCAGCCCCCACATATGGAAACAGCGACTTCTCTAATCATATTACTGTTAAGTGCTTATGTTAATGCATACCATCTAATAGTATTACCCCCACTGCATTTCCTAGGCCTTGTGTACCAATTTTAGAGGTGATTAGATTATTTTCAACTGTATTTTCTAATTATTTGTATGTACTCTAATGGACATTCATGGCCAGCAAGTGTGAATTCCTATATTGAATGTCTGGATGTAAGATGTAGTCTTAGGGCACTAACATTGTTGTTGCTTCAGACAACCACTGCTATTCCCTCATATCAGCATAGTAAAAAGAGGTGCTCTCCAGCTGTCATCAATTTAGAGGAGTTACAACAAAAAGATCTCTCTATGGGTTCCTGCACGCTATGCGTTGCCTTTCTAAAAGTTCAGTATGACACTAATGTATATGCTAAAGTATATGCAAACCCAATCAGAAAAACTTTAAAGCAGAACTCCACTTTCTTTTTTAATCTGTTGCCCAACATCTTTAAAATAATAGTTAAAAATGGGACTCTTAATAATAAAAGCAGCTAGTACACTAAAAAGGAAACCGTAAACCTTCTAAATGACCAATAGGAAGAAATGTGCAGCGCTAAAATGAATATATAAAATAAATATAAATACCAAGAACGTATAAAGCACGAGTTGAAGCACGTCAGCTGAGTGAGGCAGGAAGGAGAGGAGAGCGAGTGACCAATGAAATGGAAGCTGCCAACAATGATTTCTTTGACTGCATGTGACTAACGCATATAGTAACAACCTTTTGGCATCACTTTCTCAGGAACCCAGGTGACCATCCCAGTACCCAGAGGAGGGAGAGCCGCATCAGGCCATATTGCAGCTTACCTTTAAGGGGACCTCTGGCTGACCTCTAACCACCCAAAACTACAGAGGAAGGTTTCTATTCCAGGCTGTATTCTATTCCACCATAGAGGGAACCTCTGGCTGATTATTACATACTGCACACTTAAAAATGCGCATCTGGTGAGTGTGCATTTTTACTATACCCCGCACGTCACCAGATTATCTGTTCACCACTGGGATAACAAGATTCACTTATCTGGATTACTGCTACTTACTGGATTTTTTATTTGGACATTTATTATTATTTATATATCATCTAGTTTAATATCATATTTTCAAGTTGATGAGCACCTTGGGCATCTTTAAGCATTTGATATATAAATCAATACCAGCATTGTCATTTAGATACTTAGCACTTTATACATCCTTGGTATTTATTTTATATATTCATTTTAGCGCTGCACATTTATTGCTATTGATCTTTACAAAAATGTTTTTTGTAATACTGTTGAGGGGAGAGAGGGTTTTGATGAAGCTTGCGGTAACAGGTTAATGTGTTTATTTACACTGTTTTTAAGCATGAAGCTTTCAAAAAACTTGGTGTTTCTCCCATCAAGATCCTTGGTCTAGAACTTCCTGTGGAGAGTGAAAACTGTCTCTCCATTGTATTCTGCATTGCGAGCCTGTTACATGTGCTTATGGACATTATATGTGCCTGGGCCGACACGCTTTGTGCAGGCATGACCATCATTGTCGCAGTCAGGAAGCCGGTCAATAGCAATGATGTGTAACCAGTGCTGGAGTGCATAAATGTCAACAGGAAAAGGCTGAAAAGGGCTGCAGGAGATCTCCAGCATCGAGATGCTGGAAAGCATGAAAAATATGTCATAATAAAAAAAAACATGGAAGCAAACTTAATGCCATCCAGTCAGGGTTTACATCTACAGTACTTTGACATGCAAGACTGACAAATATTAGCACTGGAACATAGAAGAAGCCATGAACCTCCATGCGTTTTGTGTTTTGTAATTGACCTTGACTTTGTTGGGTCATATAGATTTTTTAAGTAGAGCCATATGTTTATGATGTCATGAGCGGCACAGACGCTCCAAGGGAAAAATGTGTTTGGCACAACGAGACTTTTAGATCTTTCAACATAATGAATGCTTGTGTAAAAAAATTACTTGGTCAAAAATCCAATCATAATATACCGTAGCTTGTACAATATAACGTGTATGTTATACTGTATTATTTTTGTATAGGTGATGTACAGCAGGGTTTTAGGATCAGACAGCGAACCAGTTTCTACACTGATTAATTTATGTAAAGATAATTATAGTATTGAACTGCTGAGACTTTTTTCAAATTAGTTGTTACCATAAGCTGTTTTTATATCTGGCAGTCGGTGCAGACATACCGAACAAACATTCCAACCATAAATAATGACCTTGTATAAGTGGCATGTAACTCGGCACATACCCATGTTAGTAAAATTCTATTTTTTATAAATCTCTACATAGAGTCTACAAAGAGACTAGGCAATTATTACCTAACACATACCCGGAAACTATATTTTAAATAGTTTGGAAATGATTGGGAATATGGAAGAGGGTACAAAGAATGTGAGGTTGTGGTTTTGAAGTGTTTTTGTACATTTTGGGAAACTTTAAGGTAATGCAGCTTGTGAAAAATGAAGCTCCCAAACAAAACTGCCGTGCCACTAGCCAGTTTGTACAAAGTTGATAGCTTTAGCTTATTTGATTTTTTCTTTAACCACTCACCTACAGGGTACTTATACCTCCTTCCTGCCCAGGCCAATTTTCACCTTTCAGCGCTGTTACACTTTGAATGACAATTGCGCGGTCATGCAA